ACCACTATTAGTAGTCTCCTATTTCATGTCTGTGTAACCACGTTAAAATTACTCTGCGTTCTCATGTATCTCGCTCTTAGTGCCCCGTCTTATAACTATTGAGTGGTGCTATCCTGTCCCGGGTGAATACGCCAAAGTTCACGCGCTTTGATTTATGCCTGGTGAGTTTTCTCGGTCACATGTATGTAGCATTGTCATAATTAGCAACCTATTTAATTTAAAAATAAAGTAGATGTACTCAACCTCCTTACATTGTTTTTTTAATTTTTGCTCTAGTTTATATATCTTTTTTAATAGAAATGTTTTTTTGGCTTATTTATTGATTAATTCTTCATATCAATTGTCTTATCCGGCCCTTAACACTACGATAAACTTAGATCCCTTAGCCAAAACGTTTGACGACCCCCCGGCCTACCTTCTACATGCGCTCTCCAGATCAGAACCGCCGTTTTTCACGTGTGTCGCTGGGCGGGAAAGCGACGTCACAGTCGAGGCAGTCGAGGCCCCGGTGGTGACCCCCCCGGTGTCTGGGAGGGCAACTACATCCGCTCGTGTGCGAATTCAGTGGCCAGGCGAAGCTATAGCCGAAGCGACCACAACGTAAACAAGAACGACCACAACGTCCGTGGCCCGCAAAGGCCCCTTCATACACTTGCGTTTGTTTACTACCGAGTCCTTGCGACCTCTTACGACTGGCTCCTTCTATTCGTGCAGGCAGCGAGCCTTCCCAACGGGATACATATAACTCTCTTCCTTTATATATTTCTCTCAGTCCTGGGTCTTTGTCCCATTTTTCCTTCCCCACGTCACCGTTTCAGACTACAGTCAAGCGACACGGCGGTTTATTTCAGTTCATGTAACTAAAACGTTTCAACAACAAGCGATAGATTTTGATAGGCTTCAATGCGCACGGTTTTCGTAATATTAGGAAAACGTATTTGTAGGTTCAATGGGTTGCTGTTTAGTATTGGTGCAACGAAGAGACGGCCGCGAGACTGCGGAAAAGGCATTGTGAGCAAGGAAGTCGCAAGACTAAGCACTCAACCAATGAACTGGACCATCCAGGTAAGTGGAGAGTCTTTATCGAAGACGATGAGAGAAGGTTTCGGACTAGACTGGCAATGCGTGATCATATTTTAGATCTACGACTCCCGCTCTGCCGGGACCAATGTTTCTAATGCAACACTATCGGTACAGGAACCCCCAATATGGCGGAAACTTGATAATATGGTCATAAGTACGCTATATTGCGCTTCTTTCAGCATGTGGTCTACAACGCCTGCGCTGGAGCTCTATATAGAGAACAAAAACAACACATATCGGCTGAAACAAGACTGAATACAACACGTTGGCCAGTTCTGTTCGAGGGGCGAGGGGGGCGCCTCTGAACTCTCCTACAGCAAACGCTTAGAGCCCAAGGTGGAGTCGAGGAGTGTCGGGCCATTGTGGCGAGGGAACAGAGAGAAGGGAACACCCGGTGTTCTTTTGTGAGCGCCCGCTGCCACGGCCGATGAACCCCCATCAGCTTCAACCCCTAGCGAGTGCTACCAGACGGTTTCGGTTTCACGATAACGACACCAGGGAATCCAACAGACGGAGTCATTGGGAACGCCTGCACGACCAGCAAAGCCGCCCCATGCAACGGAGAGCAGTGTGCGCAGTATGTGCAGACAACAAAAACGAGACTGGAACACTGGTGGCGAAAGATTGGAAAATAATCATCTTACACACTAAGCATGTTGCAACACCCTTCCTACACCCTTCTCACAACATTTTTACGCGATTTTTTTTTTTTTATACGTGAAACAAGGGTGCACTGGTCATTTACACACCCTGCAGGTAGCGAAATGGCGTAAAAAGGGTGTACGCCCTCTTCATTACACCCGCTCGCCCGCCACAAAGGGAAAAGCCGCATCATCATAAACACCTATTGCTCTCCTCGTTGAAACGTATACGTGAAGCGTCGATCTTCTCCGCTCTTATTAAAAGGGCCGTCCAACTTTCCTCAGACAAGCACGGGCATGTTCGTCGCTTCGGGAAAGCGAGCAAATCGCGGGCCCCATACGCACTAGAACTAAAACAAAAACGGCCAAAAGCCCTTTTTTTTTTTTTTTTAAAGGTCTATATTTGCACGCAATGCCATTGATCAAGAAACCTCCTTGTTGTGGCGGTATTTCAAGGCTAAAAGCGAGCGTTTTCTTTCAGCCTCTCCTTCGCAAAACTCGATGACGCAGCGTTGGGGTCGCGGTGTCGCCATAGTACCCCAGTGACGATAATTGAATCCGGCTCATGGGTTGAACCCGGGTATTGTGTAAGGCGCTCGATGTAAGCTCGTGACAATCAACAGTCCGACAAGCATACGGGCATAGTGGCTTGTGTCCAAACGCGGCAATGACGACGATAGCCGAACCCTAACAATGTCTAGAACTCAGCGCGTGTCCTGTGCTTTGCAAACCTCAGCGCGTGGCTATGATCAACATTGGTGGCGTATAGACGCTTTGCAGCAGCTCTGCATGGGCGCCGCCATAACTGACCTTCAGTTTTTGTTTCCTCTTATTAAATTTTCTTCACTTCATCATTACCATAGCAGGCCAGGTTATGGCCATCTTAAATTCTGTTGCGTCCTACCCAGCATTGGCCTTTCTGGAGGCTCGTCAACACCCGTTTCAAAGGCTCGGTATCTCCATAAGACAAAAGAAGGTCAGCAATGGTGGCTGTAATCTGGCGCGTGTGTAGAGCGTCTATAATCGTCTCCAGATCATATGGCCGCTTGTTCTTTCTGCGATTTGAGGGGGTTGAACGCTGCTCGTTTATCTTTAATTTTTTTCTGTGACTTCGATTGCGTTGGGAAAAAAAACGAACGCGTATTTTATCGGTCATAAACGCCAGGGATTTGTTCTAAAAGGTATTCATGAAAAGTAAAAAAAAAAAAAAATTGTTGCACCGCCCCTTTAACGACACTGGGGTCAGCTGCTTTTCAGCTTTGGTTCATACTTTCTAGCTTCGTTCATTTGTTATCCTGTACTCGGCACTGCGAGCGCCAAGGGCTGTTACAACGATTGTAAGTTGTAACCTGTAATACGAACGCAGAAAGCACAAACGCATCGGACCTTATCGACCAAGTTCGTAACAAATACCAAAACAACGATAAAAAAAAAAGCAGAACTAAAATGTGATTTTGGAGAGAGAAAGAAAGGAGGGATCGGAAGAACCACGTCCAACGCAAATAAACACAAAAGCCGACAACCGACGAAACGCATTGCGCACGATTCTCCAGTCGAAGCGATCAAAGAACGACGCAGCCGAGAGCGCTGAAACATCTCCTAGCTGTTTCGCAGATTTTGCACACAATCACACGCGCACATAAAAATATTTAACAAAAAAAAAAAAGACATTTCCGAAAAGGTCACAAAGCTCACTGTCGAGGGAATCTCCCCATCCCAAAGTGCGCGATATTTCTCTAGTTTCGCCTTACAACCCGTGTATTGTTGTCGGTATACAATGGCTATACGAAATTCATCCTCAACAAACTGAGCACCGTGTATGCCTGGCCCGACAGCAGTGGATGGATCCCATCAAAATGAAAAAGAAGAAAGAGTATATATACAGAGATCACTAAGTCAAGAATTAAAAATATTTACTGAATAGACCACGCAAAGATAAAGTATACTGACGAGGTGCAATTACGAAAAATTGCATAAAAAAACATCTTGTCAAATGTATACACGTTTTAAAGCAAATTAAACGCAAAACGACTGGTACAAAAGTAATATTGTAAATGAAACGGAGGCTTTAGAAATGGGTTTCGATGGTATAGCATTGATCCTACGGGGGGCTGCACGCTGTGTAAGTATATTGTTCGCAACTGCCATTTGCATGCAAAAGAAGTGCTATGAACGGTTGACAAACATCATCAAAAGTGGACACAAAAAAAAAAAATACGGCGCACAGACGCGGGCAGAGCAAAAAGCAAAATGTCAAAAATATGATAAACACATCGAGCGACCTGCCGAGACGTGGAAGAGATGAGCCGGAACAAGAAGTGCCTCTGAGCCACCCGGAAGTGCTTCTAAGCGATCCAAACAACAACAACAACAACAAAAATAGCAGCGAAAATCCTGTTGCGCAAGCGTTCATCCCTGCTGCCTCCGCGGTGCGTCCGCGCGGGTCACAAGGGACAGACGAGTCTTGGGCGGGAAGAAATCGAGGGCTTGACCGGCGCCTCGGACTTGCCGCGCACTCAAGGCAGCCAAGGTGAAGGAAGTTACGCAACCGCGCGCGCAGAGCAGCGCGCCACACACAACCAACGACACAAAAAGAAAGGAAATGGGCGGCATTCGTTCGGGTATCGACAGACCGATCAGATACCATCAGACTCTTGCCGGCCATATCAATAGCCCAAACACGTGTCTTCCACGACGCAAGCGACGACGCGATACCTGCTACGCTGCTGCGTTAGGAAAACGCTCTTCCCCCACTGATGATTTTGTTGTTTTTTTACTTTTTTTTTACACGTTTGAGGTACGCATTATTAGCAACGCGAGATGATCCCGTTGAGCCGCACGGGCAACGCGCGTTATTTAGTTGTGGAAGAATGCGTCGAACTTCAGAGGAGCGGCCGGCGATGTGATAAATAACCGACCGAGCTTCTTCGAGCCCCAAGAGGCGAGGCGAACGACGTTACGCAGAGGAACTCGGCGACCCGGCTTCTTCGAGGCTCTATCAACAAACCTTCGGCGAAACATCAGCTGCCGCCAGGGCGTCGGACCTCCTCAGAGTTCTTCCGGCCAGCTTTGACTACACCCCTGACATTATTCCTTCTTTTTTTTTTTTTTTTTCTTTTTTAATGTGTACATAATTAGGTGTCAGGCGAACTTTTGCCCAGCTCGCTGGAGTGATGCTACCTTGTAACTCTACTCTGCATGTGTAAGAACAGCACAGCGGTGGGAATGTAGCGGAGGACCCGGGGAAGACGCGGCGCGGAAAAGAAGTCGCCTCACCTTGGTCTGCAGTCGGCCACGCACGCTGTCAGCATGTCGGGCGGAGCCCAGTGCGGCACAGACACACACGTGGCCACGGCGACGAGCGCGCACCCGCGAACACGATCACTCCCGCGGTCCGGCGTCGCCCGAAACGTAGGCGCCGTTCGTGGCCGTTGACTCGGGGCGTGAGCATGCGTCGCTGGCGGTCGGTCGCCGGTGCGGGGGACACACCGGACGTCGAGGACCCGGGGGGACGCGCGTGGAGGCGTCGATCGCTGAACGCTGACCGCTGCCACGGGGGACGCGAAGCACGGCGCAGTCGACGGGCGCTCGCCGAGGACTCCCCAGACTCTCGTCGAGTGGAGGGGGAGTCCCCGGTGTCGTCAGAGGCCGCGTCACGAGGACGTCGACGGAGCTTCCCCCAAGGTGACTGCCGCCGGGGCAGCCCTCCCGCAGCCAGCGAGGCGCGGCCGCTCTGTTTGCGCCGAGTGGCGGCGTGGACTGCGTGGACGCGGTGGTCCAAAGTTGCAGCGTGCGATGAACAACTCGACGTCGACTTTCCAGGCACGAGAACACGAGCCACGATGCCCAACCAAGTCGGGCATCGACGAAGCGGCGGCGGCGGGCGGAACGGAAGCAAACGAGCAGCCACGGGAACGTGGCGTTTGTTTTGGCGTTTGAGAAGCGGGTCGACGCGTGCGAGACCGCTTGCTCCATCTCTCGGCTCGAGGCGTAAACGCCGGCGAACGACTGCTGCAGGACTGACTTTTGAACGACGGGTTGCGAGGTCTCGGGCGAGTTCGTCGGCTCGTCCCGTCGCATGGTCCCAGATAAACGAGCGTAACGAGGAATAAAATTGGCCAGAGAATTAAAGATTATGGCGACAACAAACGCGATAGCAGCGAGAGCCTAGTCTGCCAATAACTTCCATATAAAAAAATTCAATGTAAGTTGAGGGGCTAGCACTAGGCGAGAGAGTTTAACATGATAAAAAAAAACTATAGAAAAAGTATTTTTTGTCCACAATGTGCGAAGACACGAAAGCGATAGGAGGTGCGACGTGGTTAATTCTCATAGCCGTCGTAGTTGGCGTCGTGGATGCCAGGGACGACTGCCACAAGTACTCGGTGATCCGTGAAGTGGGTAACCGCGGTGGAAGTTTCTAAAACCGTCCGACATTACTCGTAGCAACTGGATACTGCCAAAGTTGGGTTTCGCATAACGCGAGTAATGTTTGAAAACAAGTCTTTGAAGCAGACGACACGGAAGACTCCCTTCGTCCCGTCCTTACTGGCGGGAGGTCGGGACGGCCGACGGGAAAACCCGACTTCCCTGGCCGCGCGCCAAGAGCGGAGAGAAGGGTTTTTCCCTAGCAGCGACGACAGGAGACGAAGCCGAAATCTCTGCAAAGTGTTGCTGTGGTCCTGTCATAGCTAAATATGCAGAGCGAAAGATATGTCCTACCCGAAACCCGGCGCTCCGCAAGTCCGCTTCCCCACAAGCGCAGTAGTCAAATTTTGCGCATGTGACCCCTTCTACGCCAATGGGGAGTTGGCAGCGTTAGGAAAAGGAAGGCGACACCCTGGCTCCGCCATTTGGTTACTTTAAAAACCAAGCCGGAGAGAGCGCCCTACAGTTCGGTCGCCAATACGAACGCGATAGATGCTAGAAGTTCCTGTATTGGGGAGTTTTAGGGAATCGTATTTGCGCATCCGATACGGTACGTTGGGTCCTCCGGTACGAAGTGCGCATGTGCGAGTCTTGTGCGCATGCGCTGTTCGTACCAAAGGGCCCATCGTAACGTATCGGAAGTGCAACAATGGTTCCCTAAAACTCCCTACTATTTTGTCCAAGGTTATAACCCATGATACTGGGCGCGATACAAGGAGGTTAGAAGTACTAGGAGAGGGCACGTTGCACTATTGGTGAAGCCTAGTCATAAAAAAGTTTAAACGATGTTGTGTCCAAAGTGACCGTAGATCTCTCTGGCAATTGGTGCGCGTGACATGTCACGTGTGGGATGGATGGTTGATTGTAGAAGGACTCCTTGCAGGCTTGCGCGCGTTCCGTCCGGTAGGTTTTATCAGATCGTAGGCTAGACTGTGGTGTATTCTAATACTAGCTAGACGAAGGCTAGCTGCGGTCACGTGATGGGGTCACGATGGTGTTGCGTTGGCATGGTAAGTGAGGAGAGTAAGGAGGAAAATGAGAAAGAGGCGAGGCGTCAAGGGAGCATGGCTTGTGGAGGCTACGCGGCTGGCGTCATGCCCTCTCCTACCCTTCTATCCTCCTTGGCGCGATACAGAAAATTGGGAAAGCAAGGCGGCTCGTGCGCGCAAGAGTTTTGCGTTGCGGGAGCTCCTGCCGCCACTTTGAGCGCGGATCGAGCATGCGCCCGCAGTCCGCAACGCACGATCTACGAAAAGTCCCTAGTGTGATGCTTCTTCGTACGAAAATGTCGGATCAAAGTCATGAAGATCCCGTCTATCTTGTCCACTGTCAATCAGGCGGCTCGAAGCAGGCACGTAGCCAGGATTTTGTTTCGGGGGAGGGGGGGGGGGGGGGGGGGCGCCGCTTATGACAACATGTTGTATGAGGGGGAGGGGGGAGAGGAGGTCCCAGCAAAATTGAACAATTCGGGGGGGGGGGGGGGGGGGGTCCGGGCCCCATGGGCAGACATGTACAAATTACTCAAAAAAGGTAGTTAAGTTAAGTTACTGAGTATCGACGCCAAAAGTAATTGGAGTAGAGTAGAAATTACGCATTTTTAATAGTAATTGAGTAGACTACTAACTACTCTAAAAAGTAGCGAGTTACTTTGAAGTTACTTTCGAAGTTACTTTTTTATATTTTTGTGGAAGCAAATGAACAGCAGTTTCGATCAATGAAAAACCCTGCGAGCCTAAAATAAATACAGTCTATTTATAGCTTGCGTTTTCGCCAAAATAGTTTATTCGCTCGCAGAAGCAATTGACTTTCAAAGTTCTTGATTGGAGAATATTCCCCTTTTCCTTCTAAAGACGTCCGCAGCCAAACTAAATAGGCGTTCCACCGTGGCACTGAATGGAAAGGCAGCGTTGAATTTGAGAAACAGGCTGTGCAGGGCAGGGTCGGGTAAGCGAGTGTCGGCACCTTAGGTGTCCATGACGAAACATGTGAGGTTTGCCTCGGGTAGAGGGTCTTTTAGAACAAACTTTCCTCCTCTTTTCTTTTTTCTTCGTCAAGTTGAGATTGTTATGACTGGCCCCTCTTTATTCCGACGTCGTTCTGAGAGTACGCTGAGAGAGTGCACCAGACCGTCAAGGGTTCAAGTCTCGCGCCACGACGATGAGATCATCCGGACGACTGCCCGTTTCGTTGAAGTGCTAGTGCTACACTACTGAAAAAAAAAAAAAAAGTTTTGGTTTAACAGAAGATGAACCGAAGTATACTTTGCCGCTGACGCTGGTCCAACAAAGGGATCTCCCAAGAGTAACTCGCAATCCTCGCCGGCGACTACAATATTCTGACGCGCCTGACACGCCTGACAAGTAAATCGTTTTTAACAAAGAGGAGGTCTCCCAGGCATGGATGGTCGGAAGGACGCGAAGGATTACGTGAACAAGCATCGTCGCTCGTATACAGTTGTAGCTGGAAGCGGGAACGTGCTCCCATGAACGGATTATCCGTGCCAGGGTTTGTGCGCGGGGGAGTCCGGCTTTGCAAAGGCGTATGCGCTGACGACAAGGCGACCATGGGAACAGGCGCCCAGCTGCGAGGTCATTTCAGTGGCGCCTCCCGTGGAACCTACCGCTTGAGTCAGAACTCACTAAAGACAGACAACAACTCTCGGAGTGTCCCCGTCTTTCACGGTTGCAGCTGGAAACGCGACGCCTGCGTGCATTACCGGATTAGGTCAATACCCGCCCAAGGCTTGATGAGCATCTCTTCCTGCGTTCGTGCGTGCCGGTGTTATGTTTTGGCTGCTCGTCGCCACCTTGACCCAAGGACGCCTTCCTGAACAAGGGGGCCCCTTGTTAGGGAATGCCACTTCATCTGCCGGCGTCTTATTCATTTCTGCGCTCAAACTTTCGGGATGGGCAAAATTAGCACTATATAATTTCGAAAGTAGTTAGTAATTTGAGTAGAAGTTACCTGAAAAAGTAGTTAAATTAAACTACTAATTACCCAAATCAAGTTGTAATTGAAAGTTACCAAGTTACTCGAAAAAGTAGTTAAACTACAGTAGTTTGAGTAGAGTAGTTGAACTACGTCCAAGTCTGCCCATGGGCCACCCCCCTGGCTACGTGCCTGGCTCGAGGCATCCGACTTCAAATCGGGCCGAATCCAATCCAGTCTGTTGGAAAACAAGCTGACAATGCGACGCGACCTTGGTTTCACCCCCTTGCGTGTTTGCTTTTCGTCGCCTGGCTCTGTTGCGTTGCGAGTCGAAAAGAAGGTCCCACCAACGTCACCTTGGACCTCCCTCTCTTCCGACTTGACCCGTCTGTGCAAGTTTATGTTCGTGCGTACAGTCAACAGATCCGAAGGTTCCGGTCAATCCCCACAACGATTCCGGAATATTCCAGTGTGGCCTGATCCAGCAGGCATCATTTTTTCTTTCTTCTTTTTTTTTTTTTTTTTTTTTTTTTTTTTTTTACAATAGAGTCGCAGGACCGAAATTATAATCAGACTAGACGATTCAAGATTATACCAGATTCGAGTTATAATCTACTCTCTCTCTCTCTCTCTCCCGGCCCTCCTCCCTAACTCTTCCATTCTGCTGGGGCATCCTCTCCCCCCTCCACCTCATAGAGCATTTTGTTATGGGCGGGCCGTTTCTCCCCCCCTGAAACAAAATCCTGGCTGCGTGCCTGTGTCAACGAGAAGTTAGCGAAGTCTCTATCTGTCATGCCCGCCTATCCAAGTGAGCAGCGCAAACTGACGCAGCCTGGAGGCCGAAGTGCGCCACAGAAGAAAGGAAATTATACGCACACCGCCGGAGTTGCGAATGCAGTCCATTCCAAGACTTGGCGGGTGTTATTTTTGTGCGCCCTGTTAAGAAAGCAAAAATGCCTGTATAGCTTGTAAGGTTGCGGGGCTGAACCCCATTTAATTTCCTTTAAAATGATTTCGTGTTATATTAAGCGGCGGAATGCCAAAGAACGAAACTGGCTCGGGGGAACGGGCTTTCCTCGAAGATGCGCCTGGTGTCCGGTGTCATCCGCCCGCTAACTAGAGCGGGGGCCATCTGGAACCTGGCGACCGTTCGTGTGAATTATGACCGGGGCGCGGGGCTGGCCTCGCCTCACCACAGCGACCCCTCCGCGGTGGCTCCCCGGACCTCACGTGCAAAGAAACGGGACCTTGTTAACGTGTTCTTGGAAAACTCATTTCCAACCCGCTCTGGTTCTGTTGTCCCTTGCTTCGCTTTTAGAAGTTTGCTTTGGTTTCGTTTGCGCTTGCTTTGGTTTGAGAGGTTTGCTTTGGTCTTTGCCCGCGGAATGAGTTAGTCTGGAACTGGGAGCGGAGAAGGACGGATTTCTCAGCAACACCCTCCTAACCCACACTTCGGCAACAAGTGCGCCGATATCTGGCACCGTACTATTTCTGAAACCTTGCTTGATGGATAGTCCGGAATTTTCTATTAAATTACCTTTCATCTTTACGAACGTCTGAGCGGTTTGGTGGTCTGCCAGCGAAGTCACAGGTGCAAGCGGAGTA